CAGGCGTGCTACAAACCCAGTTCTCTAGTCCGCTGGTGACTTCCTCGTAACCATTGCAGTTTGACGGACACGCGAAAGTCAGCACACGTCATGTTCACATATTCCTTTGAGTATTTCAGGGCGGATTTTACCAATTCCAAGCAGCTTTTCCATTTTTCAAGCTTTTTACAGCTTGTGTAATTTCATCTGCAGAGATAAAACTATCTGTTTTTCGCTGCTCTACAGGCGAGTCTTCCTGCGGTTGCTCAAGGTTAAAAAGTTCCTCAAAATACTCTTCCAATTGCCTAAAAATCTCCTTATCCTCGGTGAGAGGGTACCCAGACCTATCCTTCATGCTAGAATACTTTGTTTGCCGTCTAGAAATTCGACTCAAACACCTCACCAAACGTTTCCCATTTTCACCAAACGTTTTCCATTCCGTTTTCCTGCCTGCTTCGACATATCGCATACGAGTAGAAGGCTGTTCGTTTCCAAGCCATTTCTTGAATGCAGCCTCTTTTACCTGCCAATTGTGCCTTCCGTATCCACCAGAGAGTTGTTTTCTGATCTTCAAGCGACAGTCCGACCCTTTCCATTGGGCAGCATTCAACGACAGCCCCGAGTAATCAGCTCTTATAGAACTTCCATTAGATTTCCGCATCAGCAGCCATCCCCAGGATCTGTCCAAACCGTAGTGCGATGCTGCTTTCAAATTTCGCACTGGTATCGATTTCCTGGTTGCTTCTGCTGCCAGATCTTCGCATGGTACTCTATTCCACAAATCGAAGCGTGCCAACAAGAATGCTGTGATCGGTTGACAGCTGCTCGCATCTTTTAGCGCAACCATCCATTGCAGAGGGTCGTAATTCAGACGATACAGTCATCAGATCAACCATCAATGCACAAGCTTCCCTGCACCAGGTATACCTATGCACCCTTCAAGGCTCGAAAAAGGAGTTCATAACAGTCTGTCCATTATTTGCGCAACAACTTAATGCCGTTATTGCTGACGTAGCTTGGATTCATCTTTCTAATCATG